CCTTTTTTGGTCAGACATTTTCCTCCCACTTGATCTTTCTCACAACAACAAAACTCACAAGATTTCTTTTTCACACAAACTCAAAATTCAACTAAAATCGATATCTCTGCCCATGTCCACAGTTGCAGAGACTAATTTTTCTGCCCGCAGTTGTAGAGACTAATTTTTAAAATTAAAAGACAATAAAATTTTTTTAGAAAAAATTAAGACTGTTTTGTATGTTTAAGATTGAGTTTGAATCTAAGATTTGTGATCGTATGTGATTAAATCAGAGATTCAATTAAAATAGTAATTTTATATTTATGGTGACAAATAATTTTCTCATTAATTAATGAACATACATAGCATGATACATGAGAATGGGGCTTGACATTGAAATGTGTTAGACATCCACACAAAAATCTAGCATAACCTTAGCCTCCCATTCATCTTGCATAAATAAACAACTCATTCTTTTTCTCATTCATTCATTGTCCACCATCTGTTTGCTATATTGTCCCACTCATAAAACAACAAGAAAGAAAGGGAATTTCTTCATTTTGATTGTTTGATTGATTGATTTCAGAGAGGAGAAGATAATTAATAATTGAGGTGTGGTGAAGAATTTTGTTGGATTGAAGGTAGGAGGAGGAAAAAGGACCCCACCTACCTTTCACATTCATCATCACCATCGTCTTCATCAATCTCTTTTTTATCAATCTTCTCTTCTCTGCTCTGTTTTTGTAGATCTTGAGGTGTTTTTACCTCACATACCAACTTGCTAGATCTATTTCTATATTTTTTTATTCTTTCTTAGACATTAATTTATTCCTTACAAGATTTGTTCGTCAATCCAAGAGATTTTCTTATTCTGCATATATTGTTCTTATTATATGCGATTGAATGTTGCTTGCGATGTGTTTGTGAAAAGTATTCAAAGAGAGTTATTAGTGTTATGCTGGTTAAGCTTTTGTTTCGTGACCAAATAGACATAGCAGTGTTCATTCTTGTGGCTGTCTACCTGATCTAAAGCTTTGATTTGGGAGGCCCACCATTGGGTTTTGGTGGGCTTTTCATTGAGCCAATAAAAACCCCATCTTTAAAAGGTTTCCAAATTGCTTCAGTGTTTCTAAAAAGGGAGGGAAAGTGTGTGTCAATTGTCATTTGTGCTAGCCATTTCTCGTCCATATATTTATATATATATATATGTATAGCTCAAACTTGATACTTGAAAGATATTTTTCTATCTAATTTTCTAATGCTTCTTTACTTTATTACTTGTGTCTCTTTCTTTCTGTTTTTGAAACCATTTCTTCTTCTAAAACCACTTCCATCATGGGCAAATGAGATGAGGTTGATTTCCCTTTTGTCTCGCGAGGAATTGTGTGTCAAATCCATCTCTAAGTTGTTAAGGAAGACGTTTGTTTCAAGAATGTCTTTTGTGAAGAAGAGACTTGTTTCGAAAGTAGAGAATGTCGAGGAGGAGGAGGAGGAGAAAGACTCGTCACAACACGATTTGTCTGTGTTGGATTTGCCTGAGCTTGTGTTGGATAGCATTCTTGAAAGGCTACCTCCGTCTTCGCTTTGTCAAATGGCTGGCGTTTGTCATTCTCTGAGGGAGAGATGTGTGAGTGATCACCTTTGGGAGAGACACATGAAACAGAAATGGGGTAGAGTTATTGGTTCTGTTGCTTATAGGGAGTGGAAATGGCATGTTGCTTCTAAAAAGAATGTTGGAAGCCTCATACATGGTAAACAAAGGAGCTTGATCAAGTTTATGTCCCTTCGTTGGCCTTTTACATGGATGAGAATGAAGCTAGATGCAGCATATATTAACGGTGCTAAGAAGCAGAGTAGTTATTTGCTTCCTGATTCTTTCATGACTTGGTATCTTGCTCTTGAGAATGGGAATTTCTCTTTTCCTGCTCAAGTTTATAATCGCGAGGTAACTCCTTTGTGCTTTTTCAATAGTATATAGAGTAGATGGTTGTGTTTTTTTTTCTCTCAAAAGTTATAAATTTTCTTCTTCTGCAGAATGGCCATGTTGGGTTTATGCTATCATGCTATGATGCCGAGGTTACATATGATCCACACACCGACACCTTCCAAGCAAGGTAACTGAACATGATTCTCGTTAATCATATGTTTTTCTGATGTATCTATCATGTTGCCATAGTTCATAGAAATGTAAATTATACCAATTTTCTTTTGAAGAGTTTCCACAAGGAAAATAATCGACAAAAGTTAATTCAAAGGAGGGATTTAGATTTTGTGTTGTTGTGGTTTATATAGTTGTCTGTTACAGGTATCCGCCACATGGAAGAAGGCCTGCAGCAGTAGAGCATGGCATCCAATGGGAAAGACTAAGAGCACCACCTGTTGATAGTCCTCCGCACGATCTTTATATCGCTGATTGTCTACATGATTTGCATCCTGGTGATCACATAGAGATTCAGTGGAGGAGAAACAAAGATTTTCCTTACGGTTTGTTCCTTTATTCAACATATTCTTAAATCCTTACTTATTTTTTTCTCTGGATGGTGTAAGGTTAGGTATATTTACAGCAAAATGGGGTCAAATTATAAATCTTTGATTAAAATAATCACTTCTTCAATCTTAATTATGTATTTCCATTTACATATACCCCTCTTATGATGAGATTCTATTAGTGGTTTGATGAGATCCATCTTTATGGCAGGTTGGTGGTATGGTATTGTAGGCCACTTGGAGTCATGTGATGGTAATGAAAATTACTGCCGGTGTCACGATAGTGGTGAGTTAATGCATTTTCCTTTTGAATATGTTTATTTATCATTCGTTATCTTCTTTTCGATACAGTAATATCATTCATTTAATCCATGCTCTGTTCTTCCCTTCAAATCGAACCTGTTTGGAGTAAAACTATCTAGCAGATCTATGCAAAAATGTGATTTAGTGATTGGTTCAAGATAAATATATTTTGTAGTTTAAAATAAGGTTTATATTTAGTGATAATTTTATTTTAATTTACTTTTTTGGTTTTCACCACCAGTATGCAGTCCACTGCACCGACTAATCTGGTTCGGAGGTCAGTTCTGGCATCAAGTGGTTCTAGCCCCCTCCCGATTCATTCTTCAAAGAAAACTTATATTTAGGGACATAATAAGTAATAATTAATTGAAGATTAGAATACTGTTTTATTGATTAGTATATTATTTTGCTAATGTTTTATGCCATTATTGTGTTTTCCATTATGGGGGTTTCAAATTGAAAAATGGCATAAATGTAAAGTTCATCTTGACATAACAGACCACAATTTAGGCTAGGTTCCTTTCTTGATAATATGTCAAAATTTGGACCACTAGTTATGCTATCTATAATATTGGTCCCCCAGACATATCATGGTCAGGATGTCATGATTCCACCAACATGTTGATAACTCATGTCTCAGTGGATAGATACCTTTATGGCCAGCTATGTCATAGAAAAGTGTCAATCTTTTCTCTAGTTTTGCTATTGGTTATTAATGATCAGAATGAATAACCATGCAAGAAACTTATTTGTGTAAGCATGACAACAGAGTTTTTTATTTACACAACTTCACATGTTTCTATCAGTTTTTGTCGAATTTTTGAATGACCTCTATGATGTTGCCGACATGCACACATACCACCTAAAGATTTCTAATAAATATTGAAAAGTTACATATAGGACTATAAAAAAACCATAAACCGAACCCAACTGTTACACCAATTTGAATCTCAACGGAAAAAAAAAATCGAACTGTGACTGCCGGTTCTCGAATTGAGCTGAAACAGTTTGTAAACTATCTGTAATAGTTCGGTTCTTTTTAGCGTGGTTGGATCGTTTTAGCTTTTTTAAGACAATCATAATATTCAATTCGGTTTTCTGCAAAAAAGTAGCTCTGTTACGGTTTGGGACGAACTATAACTCTAGTAGTGATTCAGTTCAGTTTTACCATAGTGTTGGTTTTCCTTCTGAACCGAATGATGAACACTCTATTTCCAGATGCTGCCAACATGAAAAAAGAACAGCTCAGTTTTCCTTTTTACGACGGCATTAGTCTTTTTTCCCTTAATAATCTCTCATTCCAACGTGTTTCATATTATTCAAAATTCGTTTATTTGACATTGTACTATGTATTGTTTGCAGACACAGTGGTGCTAGAGTTCAATCAGTACACTCCTGATTCGCGTTGGAGGAAGACGACTATTAGTAGGAAAGATCACCGAGAGGAGGGAAACGAGGCCGACGGATTTTACGGAGGAATTAGAAAGATCAAGAGTGAGAAAGAAATCTCCATTTGGAGAAGCATTTGGCCTTCTGAAGTATTGGATTAATAAGATCAAATTTTCCATTTGTCAAAACTAGTATATTCTTATTTAGCAGATTCTTCTGCATTAGAGAAAAGGGGTAATAGGATTCTCATTAAGCCAAAGGAACATTGAGCTTATCCTATTTACTTTCCTCTTCTTCATTGTCACAATTTTTTCATGGAAAATTGTAGGATTGTTCAATATCAATTAATGTAAATTAATTACTTATGCTATGATGGCATAGAATATTTATTCCACAATATATAGAATGATTAAAATTTATCTGTTATGCTCATATTAGTATTCCTTAAATTCACATATAAGAAAAGTTGTAAAGGATTTAGTGCATGTTTGGAATCGTAGCGAGTTTGATGAAACTACAATGGTTACATACCATAATTCTGCCGACCTCGCTATCAACCCAAACACGCACTATCAACCCAAACACGCACTTAAAAGAGTGGGAGAGGGAGATCGTAAAGGATAATTGATCTGACAATTCATATAAAAATTTCTAAACGACTAATATATATTTCAACCTATAAAACATGATACAAACACGACACTAATAATAATTAAACACTGACATTAATATGCAAGACATTGATAATAATTTGAAAAACACATGGAATGAATCTAAAATAGCAACTCAATCATTTTATTTCAACTATATTCTACAATCTACCTAGAAATGGTATGTCTTAATCACTTCACTTTCCATCCCTCATATCCCAAACAGAGAAAAGACTTTGGCAATGGTCTGTGACATACCAATCTCATTTTTGTAAACTCACCTGATATTTCATCTTTACTCCATGAGGTTGATTGTGTTGATGACACAGATTTCATGTCAAGTTTCTTCACCAATGTTTGCTTCCCTACTTCTGCTTTTTTACCTTCTAACTTCTGTGGATCACTAGCTTTACCCTTGTTTGAATTCCCAAAAAAAAACTTCTTTATACTTTCTATCTTCTTATTACTTTTCCAAAACCCACTTTTTTTGTTCTCATCTTTCTTTGGCTCTTTAGCAGCATTGGAAACTAATGTCTTCTTAGGCTCAAACTCAAAGTTTGTATCATTTGCTACTTTCACTTCTCTCACTTGTCTAGCAAACGCCAAACCTTTTGCCTCGGATACTATTTTTTCTCTTCCTAACACTTCCTGCATTGGCTCTTCCAGAAGCTCGCGTAACATCTGACCTTCTGGAAAAGACATTAAAGGAAGTTTTTCACAACAATGCGACTCATGTTTACGTGACTCTGATCGTTCAACATGTTTATCACTCTTGTTGAAATCTCTCAACGGAGAAAGAGATCTAGTCCTTCTTAAACCATGTTCTCGACCCTTTGATTTCCCTCTCTTATCTTCTCTTACCTTCTCAAAAGCCACCTTGAACGGATCAAAGTCATCGTTCTTCCACAAGCGCGAAAACGGAAGCCTAAGCAATGACGCCGGAGACTTAGGAGACGTCGCTCTCGAGCTTTGAGCACTATCTCCACTTTGAACTAGCCTTGGAGGAAGTTTAAGAGGTTGCATCATTGGCATCACTTTACCATCACAAAATAACTCATCAGCAAAAGCCATAGTAGGCAATGAATCCTCACAAAGCCTTTGATTTCCCTCAAACACTTTCGCATCATCTTTTTGGTTCACCTTAGCGCCGATCAACTTGCTATGATTAAAACGACGACTCGTTTCGAACTCAAACCGGTCTAGATTGGAGTTAACATCTTCATATGATCTTGGTGTTGTAGGACCTGTTTGAGAACCAACATGTTCTATAAACTTAAGCCTACTAGGACTAGTTGGTGCACTATAGAAAAACAAATCTTGGTTTTGATTACAACTACTTGCACTCATGTAACATAACTCATTAGAAAATGAGATATCCATCATGTGATTGACACAAAAAATAACCCTTTGATTGTTCTTATAAGCTAATGATAGAAGGTGTTGCTAAGTTTTGTAAAGAACTATATATCACAAAACAATGATAAGAAAAAGTTTGAGTGTAAATAAAGGAACATACACCCCTAAAGCAATCTTAAAATTTTCAAAGCTTAACCAAGCTTGAATACACATAGCTTCTAAAGGAGATTTTATGGTATTGTGTCACTTTCTATGTTGGCTTAACTTTCATGGTATAAGTAACTTAATTCATGATGTTTTTGCTTGATTTATGTAACATTATTGTTGTTGTCTTATGATTCCTTAATAAGAGATTTGCATTGGGTACCAAACGTGTATAATTTATCTTGTGATACTCTTTGTTAATATATTTCATAACAAACCAATAGATTACAATAATAATAATAGTAATATAATGGAGAAAACTATAGTCCCTCCAATGATAAAATTTAGGGAAATAATCTTTAATCTTTAAGGGTCACACATCAACTTTAGTTAATATTTTCATGCCCGTGACATACCAATGTTGCCATAGGTCACAATGAGTGTATAAATGTAATGGTGTTGTTAACCTTTGACCATCCTCAGGAGTCTTGACTCTTGCATATATATATATATATATATATATATATATATATATATATATATATATATATATATATATATATATATATATATATATATATATATATATATATATATATATATATATATATATATATATATATATATATATATATATATATATATATATATATATATATATATATATATATATATATATATATATATATATATATATATATATATATATATATATATATATATATATATATATATATATATATGGCACACAATTGTAATTTATTAAAGTGAAGAAAACTACAATAGATATTAACACACTTTTTAAAATATTTAACATTTGTGTGTGTCTAGAGCTGAGTTCGAATTTAAGACTTTGAATAGAGTTGAAAAAAACTCTTATTATTTTATTGAAATACTTTTTGATTTGCATAGAAATATATTTAAATATATACATTATAAATTTTTAGTGAAGCCTCAAATAATAATTTTATTATTATTTAAACATGAAGTAATAATAACTATTAAAAATTTACACACACAACTATTAAATTTATAATTAAAACCAAAATATAATATCCAATTAAATAGTATTAATATTTATCAATTAAATTAAATTTTACTGGAAATTAGATTTTTTTTTGTTTGTTTTTACTCTCTAGCAAAATCAATAAGGACCATGTGTACATTTTATTGTATTTTTTAATGATATTTGTTTTATTTTACATATAAAAAACAAAATATTATTTATATTTGAAATGAAATTCCTATTAAAACCAATAAACTGTCAGATTTTTTATTCATTAATTTGTTTTTTTATTTTTATTTAAAATTTGTTGATGTTGATAAAGATACAATTATAAAAGAATTTAATATACATTACTTATTTATTCATCTTTTTATATATAAAATATTGATAATAAACAAAAAAATATAATTTTATCAAAATAATATAATCACATACATGCACTTGCATATAAGTACACTGAAGTGTTTCAATTTTTTTAAGAATGCAATTTTATATATATTTTATCCTTTAAACATAAAATAAAATTATAAAACACAATTTATATTAATGAATCAAACTATAAATTTATTTTGACAATTTTTTTAGAGCATTGGGAAAAACAATATTAGAGTTTGACCTAACACAACCTTACAAAACCGGTTGGTAGAGTGAGAATTGTCCCCACAGAACTCTTAACACACCCCCTTACGCTCAGGACTGGACAACTGAAGTGTGGAAATAAATGGTGGGTGGCCCGATAGCGGAAACCATAGAAGGTGCCCCACCGGATCTTAAACCAGACTCTGATATCATGTTAAGACTTTAAGATCTTCCTAATAAACAAAATAACTATCCCATATTCATTAATAGAAAGAGGAAGAATTACAAGAGAGTAAACATAACAAGAACAAGGAAATCAAAAGTTGGTAAAGTGGAAGCTTGTCAAATCAAGCCTCTCCTCAGCCACATTTGTCTTAATGAAATCAGGAATGTTGTTAAAAAAATGAATCCTTGCGAGTTCAAACCACAATTCGCAAAAGAGTCCGCATAAGAGTTATCCTCGCGATAAATATGAGTGATGAAAAAATTCATATTCCGAAGCAAGATTTGACACGATTCCCACATGTTCTTGAGAGGCCACGACACAATAGAGTTCTTCTTAAAAGGCATAACTGTAAGAGTGGAATCAAACTAAACCCAGAGATTCTTCTAATTATTCATGTAGGCAATCTTTATAGCTTTAAGCACACCACTTATCTCAGTTGTCACATATGAGACAAGGTTAAGAATCTTCGTGAAGGCAACCACAAAATCGCCTTGATTATTTCTAAACACACCTCCACAGGCTACGACATTGATAGTTCTAACACTATCACTATTACATTTCAACCAACCACTGTTGGGCGAGCACCAAAAGACCTCAGTGATGGTGGGAGGCTTCATCAGATTAATGTTAATTCCCAACTTCTTCAGAATAATGAAGTCAGACATGGAAAATCTATAGGTAAGATTAGTTGAATTATCTATTAGAGCCACTTTACTAATTATGAGATTCATGTTCCTTCTCCAATTAATGATACCATTGTTGAATTTAGCAGAGTTCCTTGATATCCAAATGTTGTATATGATGTTGATAATGCAGGCCTAAATGATGATTTTGACTTGTGGTGTCCAACCCCTTTCATAGATCTGCCAAAGGTCCCCAATGGAGAATGATGGATGGGCATGTACACAAGCTTAGCGAGCCAGTCCTAACATTTAATTGCAACAGAGCAATGAATGAAAAGATGAATGGAGGTTTTTTGCTATTGATGACAAAGGATACATCTGGAAAGGATATGAAAGCCTTTGGGCGATAGGTTATCATCCGTGGGCAGCTTGTTATGCATCAAACTCCAAGCCACCAGAGAGAGAGAGAGAGAGAGAGAGAGAGAGAGAGAGAGAGAGATTCGAAGGCATGTCTTTGCTCCATACATATTTAGACCAAGCAACAATGTGATGGGGTCTAGATTTAAATAAATAAGCATCCTTTAGGGTAATATATCCATTATCAGTGTGTTTCCAATATCCTCGCATGGCACCATAGGAATAGAGATTTGGTGAATAAGATTTGTTAAGCATAGAAAGTTGTGTACAAATCTCAGTAGGGACATTCCATTGATTTCACACTAAAAAATAACTGACCCTGAGGTTCTTCCAAGCCTGAGGGATCTGCATAATTTCATCCAAGGGTTGCTCACCACACTAACAGTCATACCATAAATTGATATATAATCCATTGCCCAAGAGAAATTTAAAATTGTCTTATATCACTACATATTCCTCTTTGATACTGCTCCAAATAAATGAAGAAGTGTGATGCTGAAGAGGGGAGCGGCCTCTCAAAACTCCACTGCTTAGAACCAAAGCCCAAGGGTCTTGAGATATGACCAAATCCCAACAGAGTTTTAGATTAGAGGCTAAGTTGAGAGTGGAAAGGGATCTAAAGCCTAGACCACCCCGAAACAAAGGCTTACAAACCATTTTCCAAGCCAATGTAACTAGTTTTCTTTGAGAGGTGTCACCAGACCAAATGAAATTCCTTGTCCATTTATCCAAGTCTTTAAGCAAAACAGCAGGCAAGGAGTAGATTGACGTTGAGCGAGTGAACATGCCTTGCACAACTCATCTGACCAGCTGCATTCTACCTGCATTAGAGAGAAGAGATGCTTTTTAGTTGGCCAATATAAATTTGATTCTGTTTGCAATATGCTGGAGATGAATGGACTTAGGTTTTCCTTTGAAGATAGGAACCCCTAAGTAGTAGAAAGGAAAACACCAATCTTGAAACCTATGAAATCAGCAATATTTCACATTCTAGTATAAGAGATAGCTCATTCGAATATAATAGACTTGTTAGGATTGATAATCTGGCCAGAGGCTAAAGCATACTTGGTAAACAGGTTCTTCAAGGTAGCCAAATTCTTCATTTTCCCATTGCAATAAATCATTATGTCACCGGCATACAAGGAATGAGAAGGAAACATGACATTTCTGGAAGCTTTGATCAACTAAAGTTTCCTATCATCCACAAGTCTTGTTATGCTTCTACTGAGCACATCTTTAGCTAGGCATAAAAGAAGGGGTGAGAGGGGGTCACCTTGACTTACCCCTCTGCTACACTTGAAATAACCATGCTGCTTACCATTGATAGAAATGGATAACCTAGCCGATTTAAGAATAATGTCAACCCAGTTACAGAATTTTTCATTGAATCCAAAAGCTCTTAGGATTTTTTTCCTAGAAAGACCAATCTAGGGTGTCAAAGGCTTTAACAACATCAATCTTCAGGGCTAAGATTCCACCAAAATATTTAGTATGAAGGAGATTGGTTGCTTCAGAAGCAAGGCAAAGACAACCCTGAATTTTCCTTCCCTGAGTGAAGCTTTTCTGTTGAGGGGATATGATTGTGGGCATGATAGAAGCAAGCCTATCAGCTAGCACTTTCGAAATAATCTTAAATTTAAAATTAGCCATTGCAATTGGTCTATATTGATCAATAGAACTAGCTCCTTGATGTTTTGGAATAAGAATGAGAGTAGTAGCATTGCAGTTAGGAAGTAACCACCCCTTAGTGAAGAACTCTGTGATAGCATTGATGACATCCTCATGCACAATGACCCAATAAGTTTGGAAGAAAAAATCTCCAAACCCATCAAGACTAGGGGCTCCATTAGTGTTAAGGTCAAATACATCATTCTTGATTTCCTATATAGTAGGAATCATGGTTAAGATATTGTTAAGACTATCATCAATAAGGGGGTGATTGTGGAGGTTTGGAGTAAGGTTTTCTATGGCTGCCCTGTGTTTATCCTTTTAAGCAAGCTTAAACTTCTCAAAGGTAAACTAAAGGACTGGA